TATATATATATATATATATATACTGTATATACTGTATATATATAGAGAGAGAGAGAGAGAGTAGATATGTATTAGTGCTGTCAGTCGATTAAGAGATAATTCACCTTTTTTTTTAAATTAATCGCAATTAATCTCACCTAACTATATTGCAATAATTTATGTTAATATTTGTTTAGGGGCATCTTTTTTATGAGTGAAGGCGAGTATCACAGATACCAATACTACTGATGTCTCTATAAAATAGATTTTCCCCCTAATATTTAACCATTGACTAGCCATTCCGCATTACAGTATAAATGAGAGCTTTCAATTTGAACATTTATTAGACTTTAAAACAAAACAACTTCTAATTTAATTTAACTTATAACAATCTTCACATAAACCTATTATAATAAATGTCATATTAGGTATCTGTGACCTTCAGCAAGTATCGGAAATATACAGAAATTGTTACAAAAAGTTATCAAACAAAAAAATCTAAATTAAATATAAATGAATCCTTAAAGCAGTTTTTTTTTTATCTTTGATTAACAGTCATCACAGCAGCTGGTTATTAGGTTTTTTGGATGCTATCACTTTAAGAGCTGCTAAACGTGGCGTGGATCTGACATGCATCGTGTTTTCTCGCAATTTTTTATATATAATTGCACTTTAATATGAAATTATATACAGCACGCCAGTGTATTTGTATGTGCAATTGAAGAGCATGTGTTACAAGCACAGTATAACGGCAGACAGGAGAGGAAGATTTGTTTTTACTGATATATGTCCTGACAACATCTCATCTGACCACACGTCACTGTTGTTCTCCTGAAGCTCGTTTGACTCGCGCCTGTCGCTGAGGAGAAGTAAAGCGTGCGTATGAAGTCTCCCATTTGATGTGCTTGTAAAGGCGTTCTTCGCGTCTAAATAAATGCAGTTCTTGTCAAGAAAACCATTAACACCATTAATTTGAAAAAAATTAATTGCATGTTTAACACGCTAATTTTGGCAGCACTGAAATATATATGTTTTTTTACTGTAAACATTGATTGTTTGTTTATTCTTGAGTTGATTGACAGTTGTGTGTGAGCAGGCGGCAGGGGGCGGAGCTCAGGTGAATGAGGGCGTGGAGGAAGGGGGTGGAGTCCGGCGACGAGCCCCGCCTGTTGAGCTGAAGCTGGTCCCTCTGGAGGAGGGGTCAGAGGTCGCGCTGAACAGTGACATCACCAGCGCACTGATGCTACAGCAGCAGACAGACCGCAGGCACACACACACACACACACACACACACACTCTCTCTCTCATCAGCCGAGCCCCTTTGAGCTAAAATATTTGATAAAACAAGTCCTACTGAAATTAAACTTATATTTCAATAAATTAACATTACATCAGTTATTGGTCACATGACATGCAGGGAAACGTATTAAATATTTAATCTATTTTAGTAAGTGCTTTATTTTCATAGTTTCTATTTTAAAATAATTTAGTTCTAAATTTTTATTAATTATGTGTTTTATTTTTTTATTTATTTTTTTATAGTGTAATTTTTAGTAAGTAATATAGTAATTATTAGTAAATGTTTAATTTTGATTGTTTTATTTTAAAATTGGACATTTAATTTTTATAAAAAGTTTTATTCGGAATGTTTTGCTTTAAAATAATTTTGTTTAATTCTGTATTTTTATGATGTAATTGTTTATTAGAAAGTGTTTATTTAGTTTTTTTTTTATAATTTCTTTTAAGACTTTTTATGATTGTATTAATTTTTATTAAGTGCATTATTTTGATGTATTTTTTTTTATAATTTAGTTTCATTTTAGATTTTTTATTGTTTTTTAGTAATATAGTAATTTTAGTAATTGTTATTATTGTATTACTGTGCTTTTAATTTTTTTTAAATCAGGTGTTTTATTTTGATTTGTTTTCATTTTTAAATAATTTATTTTAATTTGACATTATGATTTAATTAATTTTTAGTAAGTGTTTTATTTTGAAATAATGTGATGTTGAGGTCATGTGACCCCAGTGTTTGACGGTCACTGCATGTTGTCATTTCTCACACTCGTTCAGTCCAGTAGTGTGCAGTCTGTAGTGTGCACTAGTGCTGCATTCTCAGTGTCGGTCTGGTCCACAGCGTTCCTGCTGGGATTCGTGGCGTTCCGTGGAATGTGTCGTGTGTGCGGGAACGACGGCGATCTGATTCCTCTGAGCGACGAGGCGGGAGCTCAACACTCGGCCGAGGGAGGCGTCATGTACATGGCAGAGCTCAGAGAGATGCTGAAGAAGTACCTGAAGGAGGAGAGGATTGAGAACACACTCAGGTGAGCAGCTACTGTTATTCACTGTTTATCACTCTGAGACTGCTGCTTCAAAAACAGCAATCTGTACTGTATTAAATGCTATGGAAATAAAGCTGACTTGACAAAACATTAATTCGTAAAGTCAAATTACAATGAAGACTTTTGAAATTCAAAATCAAAATCAAACCCTTACTAAAGATTAATTAAATAATTTAAAATGATCATTTAAAAATTAAAACAAATAAATGGTTTTAAAATAAACAATCAAATTGCAGCATTTAAATTAATTTATAAATAAAAATAAAACACTAAACATGTATTAAGCCACAGAAACTGGAAAATTAAAATAAATTATTTAAAAAATAAAACCCTTTCTAATAATTAATTAAATCATAAGTATATATAATTAAAATTAATAAATATTTTAATAAATAAATAAAAACTGACTAAAATTATTATATCAAAAAATATAAACTTTAAATAAGTTAAAATATAATACTTGCTAAACATTAAAACATAAACATTAAATCAAAATAAATTATTTTTAAATTAAAACATAAACATTAAATCAAAATAAATTATTTTGAAATAAAATAAAATAAAAATAAAATACTTACTAAAATGGATAATATAAAAAGGTTTAATTAAAATAAATTATGTAGATTTTTTTTTTTTGAAAAATGCTTACTAAAACTGAAATCATAAAAGCATATTTTTGATATTTTTCTTCAAAATCAAAATCAATATAAAACAATTATTAAAAATGTACATCATAATGTCAAATTAATTTACAATTAAAATAATATTTTTTATAAAAATCAATTATAAAAATTATTGCTGGCAATGATTAATCGCATCCAAAATAAATGTAAATAAACATAAAATAATGTATATGTGTGTGTACTGTGTATATTTATTATGTATGTATAAATACACACACATGCATGTATATATTTAAGAA